ATAATTATATAACAGAAAAATTATATTTAGGAATAGAAAATATTTGTACATAATTTCTAATAATCTTCATATAAAACATTTAATCTTCCTAGATGAGTAATGTTCTCTAAGAAGGATTTCCTTGGTCTGAAATAATAGTTTATTCTGATTTTTCTTAATATTAAACAGCCTCTCTAATGTATGGGGCATGAGAGTACAGGAGGACTCAAGCGTTGATCCCAAGGTTTTGGGCCTGAGCAACTGAGTAAATAATGCTGCCATTTTAGAGATTGAGGAGATATGAGAAGGAACACTTTTGTTTTGTTTTTTCCCCCAAGGAAAGGTTGGGATTGAGAAATGTGAGTCTGGTATTCAGAGAAGATCTAGAGCTGGAGATAGAAGTTTGGGAGTCCTGATTATATGGGTGGAAAGATTGTGAGGGCAGCTATATTGGAGACTCTTTCAGCTAGGAAGTGAGTGTAACTAGGGGAGAGAGGTCACGGGAAAGTGGCCCTGAGGCCATGTCAACATTTAGAGTTGGAAAGAATGAGAGGAGGAGGTTCATAAAAAGCAGAAAGAGATGAGGAAAGCCAGCAGAGTGTCATGGATGCTGAGTGAAGGATGCTGTTCCAGGAGGGAGTGATCCATCTTGTCAGTTGGTGTTGAGAATTTGAGGGCTGAGAATTAGCCATTAGCTTTTTGACAACATAGCGACTCTTGTGACTTCATCAGAGGGGTGTGGACACAAACTGGATTGGATTGGGTTCTAGAGGAAGTATGGATGTAGCTAGGATTAATTTCTACCTTCTAAAATGTACATGTACATTATGTATATAGATAGAAATGCTAATATAAGAGATTCTCATAAACAATTAAAGAACAAAGTATATTACTATGACCGTATTTCTTATAAGTACCTACATGCTTCACGTTTAGTCCAGTGCCAATTTTAGTCCAAGAAAACCGTGAATTCCACTTTACTTCTACTGATTATAGAATGTTCAATTGGGCTTAAGTAAATGCTCAATCTCCCATTAAAGCCCCGAGTGCTAATTCATTTTATTGCATCCTCTGGGATAGGGCAGAGGGAATATATACGAGTATGTAAGTGTAGGATGATAATCTTATATCATCCTCTGTTTAAGTTCCGACTTTGCTCTTCGCTAGCTGTGCAATCCTGGCAAGTTACATAACTCTTCTAATCCTATATTCTCAAAGATAAAATGTGGGCAATAATGATATGAGGATAAATTAAGATGAAATGTCTAAATTATTTAGCATGGTGCCAGGCATATAGTAAGCATTGAGTGAATTGGAGTAATTTTGCATGGCTGTGATTACTGTCTTGTTCCTGAACAGGGAATAACTGAACACTGCACAATTTAGTGAACAGAAGATAGGTCTTCTAATAAAGAACAGGAAAATGAGATGCCCACGAGTAAGCCATACTTTATAAACTGTAGTTTTTGGTTCATCTCACTCTGTATGTGTTTATTTCATTTTGTTGTTTCCTCACCTTTAGTAAAGTTGTGTAAGCATAGTAGTTAAGACTGCAGGCTCTGCAGAGCACATTTGTAACATCAGTCCCTGGAATGAGCTGAATATTCCAGTTCCCTCTTCCCATCCTTTCTAATCCAATCAGCCCTGCCAGTGATAATAGCTAACGTGTATTGACTGCTTCCTGGATACTCAGCACTGTTCTAAACATTCTGTAGCTATTAACTGATTTAAACCTCACAGCCCTAGGAGGTGGGCACCAGTATTACCTCCATTGTACAGATGAGGAAACTGAGGCACAGAGAGGTTAAGTAACTTGCTTGAAGATACACCAGGTAAATGGTGGAGCTGGGATTCAATCCCAAGCAGGCTGATCACACAGTTTTCACTCTTAACCACTTCATCATAATTCCACTGGAGGTGATGAGATTGCATTTAAGTTGTCACTGCTTGTCTGTGGTGCAGATCATAGAGGTGTGACCAGTATCCTTCCCCAGCATTCAGTAGTGGTTGATAATTTGTGGGTTTCACATCCCACCTCCAGCCACCAGGAGGTGACATTTGGGAAGGTTCATGAAAACACTGAAAAACAGAGCGGTCATATTCCCTGGATTGACTATTTTATAAATGTTAGACATTAAGATACAAGATTTGAGGGTCAGGTTCTTTGGTGTTTGTAGCCAAAGAAGGAAGAGTCATTTTTGTATTAAGACATCTAAAAAGTTTTCACATGCTTAGCAAGAAAGCTAAATTAAGGCCTGTGTTGGATAAAAGTATAAACATGCTCCGTGCTCCAGGATGAGTAAGTGTACATAAATAGAACAATTGGTACACATGACCTTAACGGTATAGCTCCCTAGCTTTCTATGTAATGTGAGTCACCAAATGTGAGTATTTCCATCTGACATGAACTGTCAGTCTCAGAAGAGCACATTGTAAGATTCAATACATGTTACTCAACAACCAAGATTGCCCTTTTCTTCAACATAGTGTGTTTTTTCTTTCCCACATCCAGCAGTTAGTACTAAGGCCTGAAAGCCTTAGTTACAGAACAAAGTGGCTTAGCAGTAATGGAGCCTCTGTGAGGCTAAGAGAAGAATAATGAACATTCTCTGCAAGCTTCCTGCCTAGATGCAGGTGCAGGAATCAGGAGGTCATGAATAATGCATGACATGCAGATTAGGTGTCGGTTGCTCCTACTGGAGTTTTGACTTTGCTACCTGCCTGGCTGCTATATGTGGGAAGATGGCAAAAAGTGTCACAGTTTAAAGACAGAGCTCACAAAAATACTGCGTATCCTTTTGAAGAAATACAATTGGGGGAATGTAGCTGAAGTAACAGGCTTTATGGTCTACTTTAGCAGATGAAGTAAGCTCCAGGTGATCAGTGTATTCCCTCTGCGAAGGAAAATAAAACTTCCTTGATTTACCTTTTTAATTTAAGAAACCTTATAATTATTTGGTCATACACACACAATCAGGAATTCTTTTCCTAAGACTTTCCTAAGTAATTCTTTTTCTAAAGCTGCTTAGCCATATAGAAATTATCTATATTTTAGAATTATCCATTATAGAAATTATCCATTTATGGTATTTGATCTATGGATCCAGGAAGTTGTCCTAAAAGATATAAATACCTAGAGAATAGTGTGATTAATGGATTAAACAGGCTCATTTTTCTCCATCGATGTATGAAATAAACAGTCTATCATTAAACTTCACCTGGTTGAATTATCATGATGAAATAGTGTCTTTGTATTACTAAGGTTTGGGAGAGGGGGAAACAAGGTAAATGTTTAAAGGATATAGAGTGGATTAAAAAACTGTGAGTTTGGGGAGCTGACTACTCCTTGAAACTGTATTTAAACAGCCAGGACTCTGATACCCCACTGAGAATATAGTAATCGGAGGACTTCCTGCATTCCCCTTAGGTCAGCAGGCTTTAACTGGGGAAAACATTTTTTAGCTCAGATGTCCATTTTGAGGACATCTCAATTCAAGCAGATAGAAAAAAATAAAAGAAAGAAGAAAAGAGGGGGGAAAATGAGGCTTGCTACCTTCTGTATAATCCTTATGCATCTTTATTGCACTTTTTTTTCCTCTGTCCAATTTGGGGTACTGGAATATGAGCTGGCTTTCATTTCTAGCTGAGTCTGTCATTTCCGCTAGGCCCCAGTTTGGCCGGATGCCAAGACCAACAGGTGATCCTTGTGGCTGCAAAACAGCAGGAAGTGGGCTGTGCTTGAATGAGACAGTTCACCAGAGGGGCTGTCTGGACTCTCTCCATCTTTCTGCATAATTAACACCCCCTCCCCCATGCCGAGCAGAAAATCTGTGCTGAGCAGCTCAGCTGCAGCAGCCATTGAGAAGCGCTGTGAGGAAAAGAATGTTAATAAGGGATGTTGGAAGAAATAAACCTTCAGAGTGCAAAGTGCAGCCTGGCTCTGGGTTTAGGGAAAGACTGCAGTCGGCCCTCCGGCGGGGCTGGAACTGTATCATCTGTTTCGGAACCATTTTCACTTGCTGAGTAATTAAGGCAAACTGGAGTTCCAATGAACCGTGGAGCTGTTGGTTCTAACTGGACTTTAAGACCAGTTTTAAATCCTCGTTTTCTTTCTTCTGCATCTTGTAAATAAGAGTAATGTACGAAGGATAAAGAGTGGAGATAACACAAGCTTAAAGACTGCCTGGATCTCAGGACTCCTGGTAAAGAGAGACCAAAGCAGGAAGGTGGCAGCAGGAAGTAGGGCATGTTGTTTTGCCAGTTAGTGACCCAAAAAGAGGCGCAGGTGGAGCAGCTAGCCTCTAATTGGAAGAGATTAGCAGTTCCTGGAAGCTTTAAACTATTTTCCACGGGTGATTCTAGCCCTGAAGTAAAGCAGTATGTTCTTCGCCTCCTTTTCTCTGGTTAAAGTTTTGAATTGACTTTGCCTTCCATAAAGCCCAGCTGTGCAGCATCACTCCAGAAGGCCTTGCTCCTAGAAGTGCCTGGTCCCCCATCCTTCCTGCCCCATGCCCACAGATTCTGTCCCTGGACGCTTGGATAAAGTTGTCTTGCTTTCTAAGGTTTTATATCTAAAAGTTAACTGAAGGAGTAGGCACTTAGACTATCTGTTTGTTCCTCCCTTGTGGGAACAGGTACCAAGGGGACTCCTTGAGGGCAGGACACCATACTTTACATAACTTTTACCTACTCTTATACCCAGCAAGGGTTAGGTATTCAGCAACTTTTTGTTGAGCTGCATGAGTACATCAGTCAGTAAACACTGGTGATCCTGCTTCAGGGAGTCTTCACAGTGACCATTGTAACAAACCCTTGGTATCTTGAAAGTAGTTAAGAAGGAAAAAAGGACTGCAGATTTGCAGGTATGGGAATTTAATTTTGCATCATTTACTAAAAGGTGATCAAGTTCTGGGCATTTTAAGCAAGTCTAAAATAGATTGTTTATAAAACATGCCATTGTTTTTCATTTGCAATTGGGAATATGCTTTTTCAGTGACTCAGTTACTCTCATCTGCCCACAGGGTACATCCATCGCCAGTATCAAGGGTCCGAGGAAATCGAATGAATAATCAAAAGTTTGCTTGGTGAGTATGCAGTCTAAATTATGAGTATTTGTAAATCTTATGGAAAATGTTAATAGAGTATACATTAAAATCAAGACAATTATTCCTGCTCCTCTAAAGGAAATACATGTCTCCTAACTGGACTATGCAGTGTCCCTTTCCTCTGGAAAGTTCTAAAAAAATATTGATAGAGTTCCCTTGCAGCCAATACTCTTTACTCACCAAAAACTTGAGTTCAGCATTTTTCTCTAACAGATATAATTTAATTTCCCAGGATTAGCAACTGTTACCATTTTAAAGAATGTTTTCTTTTTTCAAAAAACCCCGAAGATATTGACCCAGATGTTTCCCAAGGCCCAACTGCAACTTCTCATGATGATTTTCACAATTAACTAATCTGTCATATTATTTTTGGTGATTACTATTTCGATGTGTGGTGTTTTTTTCCTGGCCTTAGTGTTAAATACCCAGGATTTTTTTTTTTTTTTATTTGGGGAATACTAAGATGATCTTTAACTGACTAGTTCTTGAACAAAATCATAGATGGAATTTAGCAGAAACAACCTGAAAGTTATTTCAACCACAAAACATTGATTATTGATTTTTTAGAGAGGCAATGTTAAATGTTTCACAAATGTTTCATGTGAAACAAAAATAAATTAATGTAGGTTCAAAATTTGTTTACTCCATTCCATAAAACTTTCAACATATAATGTATCATTAAAGAAAGAAAAGAAAGATACAAAAAAGAAAGAAAGAAAACTGTGGCTATATTTTTTCAAAGATGAATGGAAACTCACAGATCTCCATTTTACTTCATTGAATTGTGCTTAGAAGGGGATTTTGATTAAAAACTATGGCTTTTTTTTTAAGTATGGGAAGATGATTACCAAAGATTGAGCTTCCAAATTAATTTTATTCCTAAATCAGGATTATTTTTAGACAGAAAATAATGACACTTTGAATTTGAATAGTGCCTAATCAGCTTGCCTCCCTTTCCCCTTTAAATCTAATTAACCCTCACAATAGCTTGGTGATGTTGTTAAATATTATGCTTTTCTTTTTCACAGAGGGGAAATGGAGCACAGAGGACATAGTCATTTGCTTACACACTGCCTAAAAGCTGGGGCATCATTCCTGCTCTCTCACAATTGCTAAGGCATATTATCTCCTGGCAGACTGGGAAAGCTAAGGGAATAATAATGCTGATGGTCATTACATAAAAGGAAAGGAAGAAATCAGGTCCATCCTTGACTTCATGGAATTTATATTCCTTCTCAGTATAAGGCACATTGTACTAAAGAAACTTCATTACCTATAGAGAATGTGAGATGCTCAAAGGAACAACCTGAGCTAATGGATAAAGTGCAAAATTGTCAGTTATGAGATCCAGTTTCTACAATTTGGTTCTCAATGGCTAAATGTGAAACACTGAGTAAATAACACATTTTTCTTGACTTTTCCTTTCTGGAGTATTGGAGTAATGATAACTTGTTCCTACATAATTCATAGCGTGTTATTTGGTTAGTAAGTTTAAACTACTTTTATCTCCAGAGAAGTAACCCATGAAAAACAAAAATGATGTTTTCTACTAGCCTTGAGAAAATTCAACTTTTATTTATTCAGCAACATTTATTTACAGTCCCAGGCACTGTAAAAAGCACTATATTAGAAAGATAAATAAAACATGGTTCGTATCCTCAAGGGGCTAACTGTCTTGTAGGGGAAATTTATATGTGTATGTATATAACATCACACACACATACGCTTGTATATATTATATGATCTCACACAAATACACATATATAATACAATGTGGGTATTGCTTTAAGGAGATACATTTGTAGTACGATGTTCAGAGGGAGAAGTTATATTTAGGACCAGTTTGAGAGTGGATAGTAGAGAAGAGAGAAATATAAAGGAAGGAGGAAGGCTGTCAGAAAATCCATCTCAGAGAAGAAAGCTTTTGAGCAAAGACCTCGAATTAGTAGGAAAAGCGGAGTTGAGCTAATGCTTCCTTTACGGATAGGAGCACGCGTACAAAGACCCGGAGACATTTCTAAATTGACTGTAGTTAGGCGCATACGTAGATTTAATACGTGTACTTTATTTGGTCAGGAGCTAGCTAAAATTTCTGTGATATATGCTACCTTGAATCTTCCTTTGGTAAATACTGTGAGACTGGTATATGGAAATAAATCACCCAGCTAGGGAGAAGCCCCATGAATCACCCAGCATCTACTTCCAGTGAAGTGATAAATACCTGTTATTTCTTTGTGAAATATTGGCTCTGAAAATTCAGAAAATTTAAATACTCATGCTAGCAATGACAAGGCAGGGAAAATGATAGTTGCTGTCCCCCAAATAGAAGTTGGGGATAATTTATAGGATTAGATATCAAGTTCAACATTAGTTTGGCTGTGGCTTGAGTTAGATCCACAAACACTATATGTGAGAATCAGGAACAGTGATCTTATGAAGTTGGCTTAGCACATACTCCAGTTAGTTAAAAAAAATATTGTCCATCAAATAAGCAAATAAAGTTCAGTAAAAGCTGAAAGGGCTTCATCTTAAACTATAAAGGTATGCACGGTAATGCATGACAGTAGTGTTAAGATTATCGTGTTAGATTATTAACCACAGTCTGTGGCTGTGGTTGAGCTACCAAACCCATATTTATTATTGAGAGAAAATGGTTTAAAAATTTAAGTAGCATTTTTCTTTGCATAATGTTGATATGAAAGGTGGCATCCACTGGCCTCATTCATGTGGCAGTATTTCCTCTGGAGCTGAAGGAATGTGTGGAAAAGAATGTCTGTTTAAGGCAAACAAAATCTGCTGGAACTGAAAGAAAGTGTGATAACAATGTGCATATCACACACAGGGAAGAGATGAGAACACCCAGGCATAATGACAGGTGTTAGGACTGAGCCAGGTTTGCTATAACTGTTTGCTAAACTCCAAGGGATTAGAGAATGGCAATAAGAACTTCTTGCAGGATGTATTAGCACCCCAATAATGAATATCAGATTATTGTGCCACTTATTTAATATTAAATTAACCAAAGGTAGCAAGCCAGGCCAGACGAATACTCTGTCCATCAGAATGTCTTTCCCCTCAGTGCCACCACTCTGTAGGAATACTTGCTGAATTGAGGATGGATGAAGCCTTTGGGGTTCAGCCATGTGAATTCCGTTCTCTGTTTCATTCACCAGACCTCTTTCCTCTTTCCTTCGCCATTGCCTTCCTTTGTCCAGTAATTACTGTAGGGGAGGGGAAATCTCTTTTCCTTCTACACATTTTAAGATTGTTGGCTGGCCCTGTAAATCAGATTGACAAAAGACAGATTAACAAGGAAAAATGAATAGAAGTTTATTAACATGTGTATCTGCTTACACACGGGAGCACCCAGAGAGGACTTATTCAAGGGGGTTGTTAGGGTTGGACTTATATGGCATCTTAACAAAAGAACAGAAATTTTTAGAGAAATGACCAGACAAAGGAAAAGGACTCTTGAGCTTTTAGGGGAAGCAAATTAAGGGAAGATAAATATGTGGGGGAAATAATGGGAGAAAAGGGCTGGTTAGTAAGATTTGTTCTGCAGATTCCTCTGGTGCCCTTTTTGGGTTGATAAGGAGAGTTGTACTCAGTATTCGAGGATTGTCCCATCCTTCCTGATAGAAAGGGGGAGAGCAGAGAGGTTTTCTTGTGTCTACTTCTTTTCACTTGCCTTCAGCTCATAATAATTCTTATGCCAAACTGACGTATTTTGGAGTGGCAGATTTGGCTACCCTTCACTTTATAAACCTTTCTTTTTAAAAGGATTTGCCACTCTTCTTTGCATACAATAATGTCTGGGGAGGGGTGGTTAGAGGAGGAGGCTACACCATTTTTCTCCATTTGGGGCAACTTTCCTTATTAGGGAGTTCAATGGAAAAATAAACTTGTGTTCTTTACAGATCTTTTTACTGAAGCTATTGTATTCTGATACCAAACCCACGGGAGAGTGGCTGTTTCCAAGTCATGCTTAGCTGTTTTGTTCTCAAGATTTAACAGAAATCTGGAAATTATGTGTAGATTGGAACAGGACAGGGAGGGGTTTGGTGAGGAATATCTGCGAACTGAACATTGAAGTTCCAAAAGTTTCTAAGATCCCTGTTCGTATTGTGAAGACATATGCATTTGTGAATATGCTTATCTTTAGATTTCATGCTTTCCTGTCTCCTCCCTACTTTTTTTTGCTCCACCCTGCTTCATTTTTAAAGTTTTAAAGGACTTTGGCACATGTTGTTGTTTGATGATGGCAATGGTGGTTGTGGCATGTACCCAAAACATCCACCAAGGGCTGTTACGTGGCAGTAGTAGTGGATGTCACATAATAGAAATTTTTATGGATTATTTATTTAATAGCACAGAAAATAAAGCACTATTAATAGCAACTGTCGTCAGTAAAATAGAAGTAATTTTCTCTAAACAATTGTATGCTGCCACCACCAGTCTTAGTTATGATTTATTTCTTACCAGCATGCCTAGGATTTTATGTAGCTATATACACAAAAAAGCTGTGATGTTAACGGAATCTCCATGCAAATTCTGATGCATTCTGGGTGTGAATCACATTTCCCACTTGGCTGTGAAAAAGTTCTGTGTCACAAAATGTTGTGGAGGGCAGGAAGAGCCTTTTCGCACTTCAATGTTTTTGTGTGGGATATATACAGTGCTGCGATGAACTTAAACATGTATATGTGTACAGTTGCAAACATTAGACATGACTTCATGGAGTCTTTTTGAGAGACAGAACTTGGTGGGTATTTGTCATAACACTAAGAACATTCCTTCCTGTTTAAACCTTTTTCCTTAGTAGAGGAAGGCACTGAACTTGTTGATATTGGAAACCTCTCAGAAAGCTGGAGTAGAGGCAGCCCTTTAAGGAGGGACAGGGCGTTTCCACCCTACCCACTTCAGAGCTGTAGAGGAAACATAAGCATCATCAAGCTCAGTTGAACCCCCTCACTTTATCA